GCCACTACCTGGTGACACTGGACACCAGCTGCTCCAACAGGAGTTGCCAGGGCAATGGAAACAGTCATGCAGCGGGACAGGAATTTGGCTTCTCAGTGCCTTTCCCAGGCCCAGCACCAAGGCCTGGCACCTTGGAATTGGCTCAGAGATGACACCAGTGACAGCTATAGTTTTCTACTCTCACTTTGCCCAACTGCTACCAGCAATACTTCAGCTCTCTGTACCCAGCACATCACATGCATGCTCCATACGGTCACTGTCTCATTGAATCTTCACAACAGGCCTCGTATTTTACAGATAAGGAAACTGAGGCTCAGGGGAGTGAAGGGAATGCTCCAATCTATCTCGAAAAGCTTGTATCTTCTGCAGTCTACACGACCCATGGGTTTCAGTAGAAAGAGACAACTTTCTACCTGTGGGAGTTGCCTGAGAGTGGAGGAGGTGAGCAGCACCCCCTGGTGCAGCTTTTCTGGTGTGTATGTGTGTGTGGGAGGGGCGCACACAAAAATCCTATTTATAGTCACCTTTCTAGAATTAATATTCAATTTATTAAGGATAAGCATTTTAAAACAGCTTTTTTAAGGAATTAAGTTTCACTTGCTAATCTTATAGTTCTATTTATAAATGTAATACAAGAAGAACAAGAACTTCACTTTTTCTTCAATTAAAGTTTGATTAACTCAGGTTGAAAAAACTAAACTCTTTTAAACAATCACTGCCATTTACAACTTAATTAAATTTGCTTAAACAATTTCAGCTACACTTAAACATTTTATATATTTGATTTTCCTGAGTAATTTAAATGTCTAATTGAAAAAGCAAAATCTTTTCATCATGTACTTGAAAAACTGCTGTAAATCTAATAAATTACATTTTCAAATGCAGTGACTTTCACATTCCCTTAAATAGTACAATACTGTTTGCAAAATTAGTCAAATTCTCCCATATCATTCAACATAAAATTATAAGTCTACAAGCTTATGATGGAGCTAGCACACTTCAACCCTCCCTCTCCCACTGCCTATGAATAAAAACTCAGAATGCATGCATACAACACTCTCTATGGACCCTGAAGAATAATTAATAGCAGGTGTAGGAGGGAAACAACACTCAAAAAAGACCAACACTATTATAAATGAGCTTCTTGGGATTTTTTTCCCCTCTCCTATGCCCACCTTAGATTCTAAAGAGCCCAAATCCCAGAAGTGCATAGTGGTACAAACAAAAACTGCTCCAAGAGAAATTCCTTTTCTGGCCAGAGGACAGGGGATAGGAACTCTGAAGGCAGAGAGTAAGGAGAGAATCTCAATTTTTTTCTTTTACTCTCCTGAGCATGCCCCACAGGAAGGATCCAATTGCAAAGCTACACTCTGTCGTGCAGGTGGCATGAGGCCTAAAATTCTGAGGAAAAATCTTTCTCTCTGGCCAAAGGAACTGGAAAGGGGCCCCTGTGGGAAGATGAGGGGAATTTTGTTCATTTCCTCACTTTGCTTCGTTTCCCTTCCCTTCCCTTCCCTTCTCTTCCCTTCTTCCCCCCACCATCTCTCCATCCTCTGCTTCATCCTGGAGGTAGATCAGGTCAGGGGAAATATGTGATTATATGTGACTAACCCCAGATTTCTAGATCAAGGTTTAAGAAAAGGGCCAGAGACTGCAAGAGAATTCATGGAGAACTGGATAAAGGACTTCCCTTGAACTTGTGTTTGACATACCAGCCTCACCCTGGAGCTGTGCATGTGCAGAACCGACCCAAAGTAGAAGGCAAGTTGGGACTTGTAGTCTGAATCAAACAGGGTTGATTACAGAATATTCAAAATGCCTCATGTTAATTCAGGTACAAAAAACCCAGAAAAACGTCCACTACTCTCAAAAGTAGAGACAATTAACAGATGCTGGTCCCAAGATGACCCAAATGATGGAATTGTCATACAAAAACTTGAAAAGAGCTAACTACAGTCCATGAAGTAAAGAAGAATGACCTTGAAATGAATGGAAAGATAGAAGTTCTCACCAAAGAAACTGAAACTATTTAAAAAAGAGAACCAGGTAGAAATTCAATCACTAAAAGTACAATAATTAAAATAAAAAATTTACTCAAGTTGAGTAACAAAATGAAAATGGCAGAGGAAAGAATCAGTGAACTTGAAATAGATCAATGGAAATGATCTAATCTGAGCAACAGAGAAAAAAAGATGGGAAAGAATCAACAGAGTTCAAGGGACTTTCAAGACAATATCATCAAAAAGCCTAATATTCAAGTCATTGGAGTTCCAGACAGAAAGGAGAAAGAGCTTAGTGCAGAAAAAATATTTGAAGAAATAATGGCCGAAAACTTCCCAAATTTGGTGAAAAGACAAATTTATAAATTCAAAAAGCCCAGTTAACCCCTCAAAAGGACAAATTCAAAGAAAACCTGACCCAAATACACTTTAATCAAACTACTGAAAACCAAAGATAAAGAAAAAAAAAATGAAAGTAACCAGAGGAAAGCAAGGTATTACATATAAAAGGACAACAATTAAAATGACCACAGATTTCTTGCCAGCAGAAACAATGAGAGACAGAAGACAGTGACAGTATCTTTAAAGTACTGAAGGAAAAGAAATATTAACCCAGAATTTTTATATCCACTGGAAATATCTTTCTTAAGACAACATAAAGACATTTCTAGTTGAATGGAAACTAGAAGATTCATTGCCAGAGTTCCAGCTCTAAAAGAAATACTAAAGGGAATTCTTTCAGAGAAAGAGAAAGGACAACTGCAGGATTTTTGTTTTTTTATTTTTAGGAATTTTTGAACTTTAGGGAAAAAAAGCAGAGAATCAAAAACAATAGTAGCTGCCATAGTTTGGATCTTGAATGTCCTCCTAAGGCCCAAGTGTTAAAATATTGGTCATCAGGTTGGCACTATTTGGAGGCTGTGGAACCTTTAAGAGGTGGAGCTTGGAGAGAGGTCCATAGATCATTGGGGGTGTGTCCTTGAAGGGACTGTGGGACTCCAGCCATGCTTCCTGCTCTGCTCTGCTCTCCCCACGCCCTCCTTTATGGTAGTTTTGCTCCAGTGATGTGCTGCCTCACCACAGGCCCAAGACAATGTGAGCCAAAATAAAGCTTTTCTTTATATAAGTTAATTATTTCAGTATTTTGTTATGGTGATGGAAAGCTTACCAATACAGCTGGCCTGACATAATATTTTCTCCTTCTTAAGTACTTTAAAATGTGTAGGTCTGTTGAAAGGTAAATTATAATAATGAGATTTTCAGTTTACATAGATGTAGTTCATGTAACCATTATAACATAAAGGAAGCAAGCATAAAGGTCTTATGTGGCTGTACATTTTACTTGAAGAGGTGAAATATTAAAGTAGAACATGCAGTGTTATATATATTGTAACCCTAGAATAATCACTTTAATAACTATACAAAAAGATATAGTTTAAAAGCCAGTGGAGAAATAAAAATGAAATACTATTATGATACTAAAATAATACAAATTAAGGCAGAAAAGGAGAAACAGAGAAATTAGAAACAGATGGAAAAAAAACACCAATAAAATGGTAGAACTGAATCCAGTGGTTATAGTTTAGATCTAAAATATCCCCCAAACCTCTCATGTGTTTAGAAATGGGACATTCCAAGTGAGATTGGATCATGGGGATGCCATACTCATCAGTGGATTAATCCATTGATTATTTCATAGCTGAGTGTGCTATTAGGAAGTGGATCCTCATCAGAGGAGGTAGGTCACTGGGGCTTGTCCTTGGAGAGTATATCTCTCTCTGGCTCTTCTCGCTTTCTCGATTTCCAGTGACTATGAAGTGAACAGTTTTCTTCTGCCAGGCCCTTCTGCCATAATGTTTCTGCCTTGGAGCCAACCATCTATGGACTGAAACCTCTGAAACTGGGAGCAAAAACAAACCTCTCCTCCTTTAAATAGCAAGTGTCAGATGTTTTGTCCAGACGATGAGAAAGTGGCTAATACACTAACCATTTCAATAAATGCATTAAATGTTTATGTTAAAGGACACAGATTGTCAGTTTAGATTTTTAAAATCAACTCTACTATATCCTATCTATAGCAAACTCATTTTAAATACGATGTATAGATTATAAGTAAAAGGATAAAAAAATGTGCCATGAAACATTAACTTTTAAAAAAGTTAGAATGGCTATATTAATACTAGGCACAGTAGACTCCAGAGAAGGGAAATTATATTGAGGAATTTTACAAAATGATATAGGGATGGATTAAATCCACAGGCATAATGGTCTTAAATGTGTGTATACCCCACAGCAGAACTTTAAAATACATGAAGCAAAAAACTGATAGAACTGGGAGAGGGGATGGACAAATCCAATTACACTTGGAGACTTTAACAGTTATCCGTCACCAACTGATAGAGAAGTAGAGCGAAAATAAATGATATAGAAGACCTGAACAGCACTATCAACCAACTTGATCTGATTGACATTTGTAGAGCAATCTACAACCAAAAGCAGAATGTATGTTCTTTTTAAATTGCTCCAATACAGAACATATTCTGGGTCATAAGACATACTTTATCAAAATTTAAAACTGAAATAATATCAAAGCATATTCTCTGAGTATAATAGAATTAAACTAAAAATGAATAACACAGAGATGCAATAGTCTCCCCTTATCCAAGGGGATACATTCAAGACCTCCCCCTCCAGTAGGTGCTTGAAGCCTCAGATAACACCAAGCTGTGCATATAGTGTTTTTCCTATATACTCACACCTATAATAAAGTTTAATTAGTAAATTAAAACAGTAAAGAGATTAATAATAACTAGTAATAAAACAGAATAATATACTGCAATAAAAGTGATATAAATATGCTCCCCCCCAAAAAAATATCTTATTTTCCTCCAGGGCATGGTGGCACACATCTATAATCCCAGCACTCGAAAGGCTGAGGCAGGAGGATCACCATGAGTTCAAGGTCATCCTGGGCTACATAGTGAGTTCAAGGACAGCCTGAACTGCAGAGTGAGACCATCTCAAAAAACAAAAACAAATTTAAAAATTGTCAAAATATCTTTATGCTGACATAGGGATAAGTCACATCTGGGTGGATGAAGCGTGACATGTTTAAGGGCCCATAGTCCAATCACCTTCCAAAGGCCCCCACTATGACTGTATGAGGCTTTAGGAGGACATGTAGCTATAAACCATAAGGGGGGGCTATAGCTGACTTCCTGTGGGGCCTGGTGAGGGGAGGCAGGTCCCTGGGGATGTGACCTGAAAGGATTTAGTTCCCTCTCCAGCTCCTCCCTTCTCTCTCTGCTTCCCGACCACCATGATGTGAGCAGCTCTCCTCTGCCAGACCCTCCCACCATGCCTTCCTGCCTCAGAGCCAGCCAACCATGGACTGAGATCTTTAGGAAACGTAAGCAAAAATAGACCTCTCTTCTAAGTTGCGAGTGTCAGGTATTGTGTCTCGGCAATGAGGCACTGGCCAAGACACCTCTCTATGCCTCAGTTTCTCATCTGTACCATGATCCCACAGGCCAGATCCTCAACTTGGGCAGGGCTGCCTGGGCAAGGGCTGGGATGGAGTTGAACATTCAGCTTTTGAGCTGCAGAGACCCTGGTGGGAAGGGGGGGGGGGTCTCTCACATGCACCAGGGCTTGGAGGGAGACCTCTGCATCCCAAGGAGCGGGACTCCCATCTCCTGGGCTGCAGTGGGCTGGGCAGGCACAGAACACGTCCTCTGCAGAGACTTTGATCAGTAGCGATGACAGGATGGCTTCTGTTCTCTTTGAAGCAGCAGAAAGATCAATCTTCCTTCTTATCTCAGCCTCTCTGCACGGCTGCATCATGTGCTTCTCCAGCCACCACTCTCTGCAAACGACTGGAGCAGAGGCGGCAGTGCCAACCCAGCCATGCCCTGCCTCCCTGCCCACCCCAGGAAGAGGGGCATGAGCAGCATCTGCCACTTTGTGGCCTGCACTTGGCCTTGCCTAGAGGGTCAGAGGGAGAAGGAAACGTACGCCTCTGTACCAGAAAGTAAGACTGCCTGCAACTCTTACCCAGCTTTCGAAGGGCTCCCCTCACTGGGGCACTCCCTCTCTTTCCTTCAAAGTGTGGCTTCAAACTGTCACCTTTTGCTAAGATCTAAAGACGCTGGGCCAGGAGGCAGGAGACTGTATTCTAGCTACAGGTCTGCCTTTGATTTGCTGCATGACCTGGGGCAGGTGACTGCCCCTCTTTGGAGGTTCGTTTCCTTGGGAAGCAGAGTTGCTGTAAATGTTTTTAGGACCAACTGAAAACTCTGTGGTCAAGACCAGCCTCGGCCAGGACCAGAGTTTCATGTGGTTCAGACTATAGAACTGTCTTTCTCGGATGCTGTCCCAGAGGAATCGACTCTTTGACTTTGACCTCGACCTTATGGGCTCCTTTTTGTCTTGACAGTGTTTTTCCTCTCATTTCCCTTAGTATTGGGCAAATCTTGTTCAGAGGGACTGCAGGCAGCAGAGGTTTTCAGGGTGACTCTGCCCCAGGAAGCTGGAGGAAGACAGATCATAGGTGGGCAGCAGGTCCTCTACATGCCCCCTGGCTCCCAGAGACAGGACAAAAGGTGAGAGGAGCCCATTCCTCCACACAGATCTGTGAGCTGAGAACCCCAGCAGCCAGACACACACTCTCCCCAGGTCTCCCAGGGCACAAGATAGGACAGACCCAGACAAGGGAATGACTGGGGATGAGTGGGGAGGAAATGCGATCTGCCCTCCCGCTCTGCCCAATGCTAGAGTGTGCCAGGCCAGATCAGGAAGCTTCTCTGTGCCACCAGGACTCAAGAATGTTCCCCTTTACTTCTGCCAGTGCCCACTCAGTTCCCTCCCACCACTGCAGCACCTGGGGTCCCCTTCTGCCCAGCCCTGCCCTCCAGGATGCCCTTACACCCCCACCACACTGTCACCTTGTCCCTGGCCTCAACTTGGGGTTTCTCAAGAGAGTATCACTGGACACTGCTGCCATGACTGGTGATCCCAGGTTTCTGTGCCTATGAGGGCAGGTGTGTCTGTGTGTGTGCATGTGCACATTTTGATGTGCAAGGTTTTTTTTCTGGTAGTGGGGATCGAACTCAGGACCTTGCACTTGTGAGGCAGGTGTGGTGCCACTGAGCTAAATCTCCTGGCCTCAATGTACAAATTTTGCACAGAGGCAAAGTGTCCTGGATTGCTTTGGTGCTGTGTTTGAGGAAGTATGTAAGTGTGGGTATGTTGTGTCATGCTGTATGTATGTTTGTATGCACACTGTGTGGGGCTGTGTGTGTTTCCATGGATCTAAATATGTTGAAGAGTGAATATTGTTGCATGGGGTCCTGCCTTTTACAGTCCTGTGTGGTGCTAAATTCGAGGAGTGCTGGATAGCATTTGCAGAATGCTACAGGTGCCGAGGGCAGTGTGTTAGACACTGGTGCCTCCTTGTCCAGAGCGGCTTCCTGTTGGCCCCTCTGCCCTGAAGGGACAGATGAGCCCTTGGCACGCAGCCCATTTGAGGGCAAGGGTCAGCAGCCACCTCAGTGATCACAGCTGAGCCTGTGGTCTTTTGCTCCCTGGGCCAGGTAGTTGCAGCAAAGAGGAACCGGCAGAGGCCTGTGAATCCTACGAGCCAGCTTTGTGGGGTGCAATGTTGTCCTGGAGCCAATGACACAATTGCCATGGATTGCGTGCTTGGCAGATGCTGGGTACTGTCCTAAGCACTCTGCAGACGTAATTAAAACCCCACAACCAATCTACAGAGGGCCTCATTTTACAGATAAGGAAACAGAGTCAGGGAAATTTAATGCCCTGGGCCATACACTACGAGTCCTAAGACTGGCATCTGACCCTAGGTCTGTTTGACTCTGAATCTCATGCTTCTCTTTCCCCATTCTGATCTACAGCTTGTTCTAGAAAGAATGGAAAAAAGAGCTCATCCTCCCCAAACCCTTCTTAGCAAACAGCCTTCGTCTCACAAAAGTGCTTGCCTTACACCCTTGATTTAAGCCTCAGAACTCTTTGGTGGGGGCAGTAGGATACGGTGAGCCAGGGAAAATAATGGGGTCCTTGCTGGGAGGAGGCCTCCAGGACTAATGGATGAGGAGTCCACACCTGGTGTTTTTGCACCCTGCTGCTTGTATTCAAGGTCCCCACGCCTTGGTCCTGCAGCTTCCATGGGAGACAGCACGGCAGGCATCTGCGGTTGAGGATGCTGGGGTGGCAGCCAGGTGAAGGCAGCACCAGATACACACAGCTGCTCTTGTCTGCACTGGGAGCTCTGCTTGTTCTTTTCTAGATTTAAGTTATAGGAGAAACGCATTATGTTTTCATTAAGAATTCATTTTGGAATGGATAGCCTTCCGAAGTGTAATTAGCCACATTATTTCTCTTCATTAGCAGTCCCTAGTGTTCGCTGGAATCTCTTGTCCTTTTTCCTCTCCATTTCCCTCTTTCCATCCTCGTTACAAGCGGGGTTGCAGTGCTTCTCCACCACCCCCAACCCCACCCTCGTCATCAACACACTCCGTTTCCTGACTGAGTGACTACCTCAAAATCTGGACAGAAGGCAGAGTCAACTCCCACTCCGAGTAGAGCTGTAGGGGCCCAGATCCCGCATCACTGCTATCAGGACAGAGGAGTCCCGACACAGAGACGCATGACACAGAGATGGCCGGCTATGGCACAGCTGGGCAGAGCTAGGAAGATTCTTGGCTCCTGAATACTAGCTGGGCAATCCCAGGCCTGTAACTTAACCTCTGTGAGGTTCCATTGTCCTCATCAGCAATATAAAGCGCTTCGTTTGAGGTATACAGCAGGTGTCAATAAGGCAGCTGTGGCTGGGATTTTCAAGGGCAAAAAGGGACTTTCTGGGGGCCAAATGAACAGGAAATACTGGCAGGCAGCAGGAAGGGCAGCATCCTGGACTGGGACAGGTGGCAGGGACAGCCATGAGGACTATCCTGGGGAGCAGGACTGGGCTGGACTGGGGCAGAGAGCGCCCTCTGGGGCTCAGGCCTCCCTTTTGACCAGAGCAGCTCCTCTGGGTCATTTCTGGCACCCAGGACAACTGGCTAGAAGGATGCTCCCCAGGGTCCCTGGGCTCTGGGAGGTGGTCTACAGCAGCAGTAACTCAGGGGGCATCCAGGGAGGCTTTTGCTACCTCTTCGCTCAGCAGAGAGCAGTCTCCCTCCACTCCACCCATGTTCCTGCTCTTGCACGCTTGTGACACATGATGTGCAGCTGTCTCCAGCACTGTCGCAAGCACTCTGGTCTGTGGAGGAAAGGGCAGAAACCCTGATGCCAAAAACCTAAACTTATCCTGGTTCCCCATGAACAGGGGCAAAGAGAAAGCACAGACTTAGCATCAAAGATCTTTGGCACTCGGCAACAAGATGGAATCAGAGTGTGTGTGATTTCCACGAAGAGCTGAGAGCCCTAGACTTAGGCAGCCCTGGGCAGATGTCTTTGAAGGGGCTGACACCTGTCAGTAGGGACACAGTTGTATGGCATTTCAGAGCCATGTCCTGTTGCGTTGACATGAAGGGAAGGAGCTAGAGTCAACTTGGTTTCTTTTATAGTAATCCTGGTCCCTTAGGTTCCTGGGGACATGCAGAGAAGCAGAAACGGGCAGGCTCATAGGATCTTTGAGCTTAGGCATGGATGTTACTACAAGCTTTGCAGAAGCAAGTGGCACCTTGTCTAGAGTTGAGTGCATAGAAGGAAATTTTCATTTCATTTCCAGGCATTAGTAGTAATGGCCATGCTGGGGCTAACAGCAGTGCCCATGCACTGGGTGCCTCTCTGCTCCTGGGCTATGTGGGGGCCCTTTTCCCTCTTCAGCTTCCTTCCCGTTAGTGCCAGAGGCTGCTTTCCTCTCCCTGGTGACACAGAGCAGGGTGCTGGGACTCAGACAGAGGAAGAGATGGTGTCAAGGCAATGATGAGTCGTTCCCACCTCCAGGGAGGAGTCTCATTGTGTGGGGGACAGCAAATGGCATAACAATGCCTGCCGCCAGGGGCAGCAGTCTCTGTGTCAACCCACTCCATGGTTGGCGGGTGTCGCCAAGGAAGACGACACGACTCACACAGGCACTGCTGGATGGAACTAGGCTGAACTCACATAGAGAAGAGGCAGATCAAGTGGGTGTCCTCATGGGTAGAGGCCTCAGCCTGCAGCCACCCCAGGGTGATGGTTCACACCACCCCTCTCGGGCTGCAGGTAAAGAATTCCCTCTCCCTCTTCCTGGCACAGACACAGCATAGGGCTTGGCCAGGTGCCAGATGCCACGCATGCTTAAGCAGAACAAAGGCACACATGTTGAGCCTGGAGTAGGGAACCTTACTCCCACCTAGGGGACGAGCCCACTGGCTGAGGGCCCCTTGGCCCAGGCCACGCTGGGGAGGCTGAGCGGGGGGGGGGGGCATGCAGAGACTGGGGTAGGGTCTGGATTTGAACCCAGTTGCCTAGGCACTTCCTCACTTCATGAACACCCTCTCTGTCCCAGGCACCTTTGAGGGCTCCCCTCCTTCCTCACCAGCAGAGCCCCCTCAGTGTATGTATCCAAGGAAAGATGGGCTGGGAGGTTTTCTTCCTCCCAGGACTTGGCTAATGCAAACACCAAGAATGATATCTTACAGCCTGGGAGTCTTGTGCCCTGAAGAATCTCCGTGCAGAAATTTAAAGCAGGAAGCTGCATTCCCACAAGAGAGGGAGAAATGCACAAAAGAAGTCATGCATGGGCCTCTAAAGTCCTTCAGCTATTATGTACAGAAATGGATGTGGTAAGGACCATTTAGCCCAAGGAAAAAATAGACACATGTAAATCCCGCTCGCGAATTTGGAAAAGAAGGAGGGAAAGAGGAGAGACCAAGTTGCTTTTTGCTTGGGCGCAGGGTCCTGCAATTCTGTTTTGCAGTTGAGGCCTCTGGAACCTGAGCTTGCTAGCTAATTGGGAGAGAGTTATGACCTACAATTTGCACACAGGGAGCCAGAGGTCAGAGGAACTTCGGTAGATGATCTACCTCGCCACATTCATTTTAGAAGCTTTGTCAGGTTTAGCACTCAGATTTCTCCAACTCCCTGCTTGGTCTTCCCCGGGAAACTTGCAGTTCCTTCCCTATGTCTCCAATGCTAATGTGGGGGAACAGAGGCATCTGTCACCCCTAAGGGTAACATCCCCACCAAATCTTCTGCCCCCACATTTACTTTGGAAAGTTCCACAGACCTCTGAATGAGGCCTTCCTGATGTGCAAGGAGTCCTCTTCCTAGTCTAGCCCTTCCCTACTTCATGCTGCTCATCTCCTGCCCTCTGAAGACCCAGGGGCAGCAGGTGCAGGAAGAGGCACCTAGCGCCACCTGCCTATATCAGGGTGGGTGGCGGAGCCGGGAAGATTGTAAGGTGCTGGATGTAAAAGCCCTGTGCCCACGGGGATTTAGCTCAGTGGTTCCGGCGCCTGCCTCAAAAGTGAAAGGTCCCGAGTTCGATCCCTGGTACCAAAAAAAACAAACAAAAAAGCCCTGTGCCCAGTGCTGCAGGCCAGCAGAACTGTCCCAGTGCACAAGACAATGAATCGCGTCCACCCAGGACCTCCACAGGGACGCTGATTCATTGTGCTAACGAGACACCAGCCAGAAGTTGATTGTACTCTGATTTCATGGCTGGGGAATCTGTGGCTCAGAGTGGAGGGGGCATCTAAATTTGAAGTCAGAGTCCAAATTCCACCTTGGAGCTTCTGATTCACATTCGATTTGTCTCATTACTATTATCTGCTAATGGCTAAGAATGCTTTCAAGTCAGATGGGTCCCGAGTAACAACTCAAGCAGTCCATAAGGTGGAGAATGGTGATGCTGGAGCCCACAGGAGCCAGCTTTCTAGATCCACTCAGCTAACATGGCTGCAGGGTATGGTGGTGCAGTGTGATATCAAGATCCTGTCTTCAAAAAACAAAACAGATAGCAGGACTGGTATTGGAAGGGGAATGCACAGCATCTGACCTCGATGCTGGTCTGTAGGAACTTAGGGTAAGAGGGAGATGGGACATGCAGAAATCTTCATAACTCGTAGTGGGAAGTGAGAGGTGATCCCAGAGAGCATCACTTATCCTTATTCCATGAAATCATTCATTCAGTTGGTACCCAGACCAACAGTCTTTAAGTTAGCTAAGACTTGGGCACTGTCTTAAGTGCTTTGGATATGAAGATAAATGAAACAAAATTAGTCTCTACCTCCAGAAACTTCCATCTAAATACTAAATCTGAGGCACTTCGGGAGATTCATAAAGATCCATTACCCGCCCCCCAACAGAATGATATTCAATCTTTGAAAGTAGCCCCCAAACATCAGAAGCCCAGCTGCTAGATATCTTCCAGGTTGGAGTCCTTTAGTATTGGTCTGGTGAAATGGCAAACTGAGGGAGTCCGAGGAAGAGCCAGAAACAAGGAGAAAGGCCTCACACCTACCTCTGCCAGGCAGCCCACCCAGATCCCCACGCGCTTTGAATCCAGTCTCCATGGAAGATTCCACGATACACGGACATTTTTCTGGTTGGCCAGCGCATTCTGTCCCTTGGCTCCAGTCTCTCTCCCTGCAGGTGAGGGCCTCCATGTGCCAAGGTCATTGTGATGCGGGTTCCAGGGCCCCTGTGACACGAAGTTACCCGCCCCGCTCAAGCCTGAGATGTCCATCTGGAGAGGCCCGTTCCTCTGGGAAATGCAACTCCTCTCCTGAAGGCAGCTCACCTTCCCCTGCTCATTAAGCCTCCAAGCGAGTTCCGAGTTCCCCTCAGGGGCTGCCATGAAGACAGTCTGCAGGGGTCAATGACCACTCTCTCTCCCGAGAACAGCCTGTCGGCCAGGCAGTCGGCCTCCTTCATCCTGGTACATGGCCCTCCCCAGCCCCCCAGTCCTTCCTCCCCAGCCTCTGGGTTGCAGGTGGCCCTCTTCCTCTGCTGGGTGGGACCCTGAGCTCACCAGCTGGGCTGGTTGTACCTTGGCCTTTCCATCAGTACCAACAACAGTATTGAGACAGCTGTATCCCCTCTCCCTATATCCCCAAGCCAGTGCTACTTTCTCCCCAGATGTGTCATTCTGACTTTACTGAGTTTCAGATCTGCGAATCTGCACATTCACTCCTGAATCAAGCTGGTAAATTTTCTTTGGTGCTTTTGCCAACAATTTTGGTATGCTGCCACCAGGCGGCAGTAAGGCTTTTGTTAGAAGGTGGCTCCAAACCCAGTTAATAAAATGCATCTATTCCTTAGAAGTTGGCCTCAGTCATAAAAATTTTCCATCCAGTATTTCTCAAAATCATAATTCCTAATTATAATGACCTTAACCAATCTCAAGTCTCATTAATCATAGTGATTAAAAGAGTGATACATAAAAACATGCAAAATGGGCATCTCTTTCCCTGAGTTTTAAATGTTACTGCTTTATTGTAGATGATCACCAGGTCTTAATTTGAATTTTTTTTATATCTTCCTTCCATTCTCTGAACTCCAAGAAGGCTGATAGTAATAAAATAAGCTGTCACACAGCATTTGCTGTGCACAACGACTGTGCTGAATGCTTTATTTATAGTGATCCATTCTCACAGCAACCTGGGGGGTGAATGACGCTGTTATCCCTCTGTTGTAAATAAGAAAATTGAAGCACAGAGACTTCATAATCTAGTGACAGTCACAGAGCTAGTGAGTGGCAGAGCAGGCATTGAGACCCAGGCAGTGGGCTGGGAAGCCTGGCGATTCTGAAAACGTGGAAGTAGTCACTGATGGTTAGTTGGGCCCCGGTGTCAGGGACAGCTTGCTTCCCACGGGTAGACTAAGGTCAAATTTCTTTCTACTTTTTCCCTCCAGTGCTTGGAATTGCACCCAGGGCCTTGCATATGTTAAGTAAGCATTCTGCCACTGAGCCACATTCCCAGCCCATTACATTTCTTTGTACCTCCCTGGCCCTCTTCGGAAGATAGAGCATCTACAAATTATTCAAGAATGTCTTTTGCAGTCTAGCCCCTCCAAACATGCAGTTAGTGGGATTATCCCTATCTGTGCCTGTGAGCTCTTATTATTACTTCCCAGTGCTGTATTTCCTGTGGCTGCCCTGTTCCTTCATGGCCCATGGGTCAGGAGCATCATCAGTTCCCTCAGAACTTGATAGGAATGCATTTAGGCTGCACCCCCAAATTTCAGAATTAGAATCTTCAGGTTAAGAAGACCCTCAAATGATTCATATACAAACTCAATTTTGAGTCACATCTGTCCAAATTCAGGAATTAAGGGGAAGTCAGGAGTAGGTTTTATCAGATGTGTGTCTGCCCATCAGCACCTCACTGTCTGCAAGGTGGATTTCAATGCACATTGAAATGCGCAACATGGAGGGGATACCCTAGGAAAACAGGCATCTTTCCCTAGTCCAACAGGATCTCTAACACCTAGTTATTATTTTGTAAACATTTCTAATTGCTTTGCATATGATGCAATTACTTTCCCCCAACACATCACACACACCCCCACACACATACACCTCTCTCTCTCTCTCTCTCTCTCTTACACACACCTTATCTAAACTAGAATCCATTCTGCATGGTGAACTGTTTTACATTTCCAAGCAAGATAAACTGAACCCAGGAGTATGTTTCCTTAGTGCTTATCTTATATCCTGTCCTGCTATCAAAGTGGCATACATGATAGAAAACTTTGAAAATACAAGAAAAAAGGAAAATTACTTGTACTTCTATTATTCAAAGATAATCATGGCTTTGTTTAGAGAAGGGTTTTTTCCTAGTCTTTTTTCTAAAATTTTACAGTGGTTAATGCCCAATGTATTATAGTTACGTGGTGCAGTTTTTATAACAACATAACAGACATAGTACATACACAGGTAGTACTTACTATAAGTACTATGGTATGACTACAGAGCATAATCAATAGTACTGCAAATATTATAGAGGATAGTACACAGGTAATACTATAAATGCTATCATAGTACTATAGAGTATAGGACATGGAATACTGAATATCTAATTTTGTATTCTGCTTTTTTTCTGTTAACATTTGTATTTTTCCAGATTATTCATCCCTTGTAAACATCTATTTATATGTCTCACAATGCTCTATTGAGTATCTACACCATAGTTTATTTAACTATTCCTTTATTGCAGAACAGTAATGTGTGATGAAAATTATTGTGCATTCAGGATTTTTTCTACTTATTTTCAGTAATTTCCTTGTGAGTCAGAAGCTGTAAGTTTTGATTCCTATTGAAAAGCCCAGAGGCTATCATTTTAAAAATTGCTTTAAACTAAAAGACAAGCCAAAGGCCCCCTTGTCCTTGCCAGGCGAAGAGAAAACCACCTATTGACAAGACAGAATGGAGTAGCTTCTTTGATGAGAATGGTTACTTGGCCAAGTCCGGGGACTTCATTTGTGTTAACATCCTAGAGAGGGTATGGTCTGCAAGCTCCCCTTGGCCTTCCCTGCAACTGGGGGCACACAGGAGGCAGGGGGCAGATGCAGGAATGGGCAGAGCCCTTGAGGAGGCCTCTGGAGGGCCGATGGCCTCCTGCCTCCCGCCTCCCACCCCCAGGGCCTGGATCCTGGAGTCAGGACGGAAGCCTGGAAGTTCCTCACCGGCTACTACTCGTGGCAGAGTTCCCAGGACGAACGGCTCACAATGGACAGCACAAGGAGGTAGAACATTCTCCATCTTCCACAGCACAGGGTGGTGGGGCTGCGGTCCATCCCTCTTAGCCCCTAGCCCTGCATTCTGCCCTCCCTAGAGCCTGTGCATTCGGCCTTGAAACTGCGCAGAGCCACTTCCCCCACTTTTCCCTGGGCCTCAACCCAGCTCCCACCCACAGCTGAGCTGGGCCTCCTGGGTCTCAGCTCTATCTGTATCTGTAACCCCAGGCCCAGTGCCTGACTGGTAACATTACAATACCACACACTTCAGGGCCTTTCCTCACCCCAGTACCCCTGTCCCAGTACCTTGAATTCCCATTGCACCAGCCGCCTGGCTGACACCTCATTTGTCCACTTCCCCCCAACATTGCCCTGCACAGGCCACATCTGCACTCCTCCCTGCTCTTGGTTCACTCTGTCCCCTCCACCCACAATGCCGTCCCCATCATCTGCCTATCAAACTCCATGCTTAGCTGGACATGGTGGCACAAACTCGTAATCCCAGCCACCTGGGAGGCTGAAGCAGGAGGATTACAAGTTCCAGCCCAGCCTGGGCAACTTAGTAAGATCCTGACCCAAAATAAAAAGGGGATAGGTGCTGGGGATGGAGCTCAGTTCAAAGCCCTTGAGTTCAGTCCCCAGTGGCAACAAAACACTCCACTCTTCCTTCAAGGCCTGGATGAGACAGGGCACTTTCTCTGAATAGCCCTTCCTGATCTTCCAAGGGAGCCAGGAGGAAACAGTTAGGTTCTGTACACAAGTGGCCTGCAAACTTGGATAGCTTTGCTTATGGAAGCTGAGTTCAAAGCCCAGCACTACCATGTACACTCCAGGTAGACTTGCCCTGAACTTTACCACCGACCTCTTGGTTCCCCCCCGTAAAATGGGCCAATGATACGTTTCATGGACTGGTTCTAAGAGTCAAGTAAGAGAACACAGGTCAGTCACCCTGCACAGGGGAGGAAAGCTGGGTTTTATAGTTCTGGGGGCCAGAAACCCCAAGCAAGGTGTAGGCTTCCTCCAAGGGTTCTGGGAGAGAATCCTTCCTCACTTTCCTGTGTCTGCAGCACCAGATGTCCCCTGGCTGGTGGCTGCATCCCTCTCATCTCTGCCTGCAAGGTCACCTGAACTCTGCCCTGTGTCTTATAAGGACACTTGTCATTGGATTTAGGGTCCACCTGGAGAATCCATAATAAATAGCCTCCTCTTGAGATCTTTAATCACATCTGCAAAGACTCTTGTTCCAACCAAGGCCACACTTGGGTCTTGGTGCAGGAGTGGTCACCTACCTATGCTCCAACCTACCATATGACATCCAGTAACTCTGTGACCAAGACCCACTGGCCACCAGTCAGCCCTGCACACCAGCTACTGATGAGTACACCCAACATCATCTCATCTGATCCTTCCAACCCTGAGGCACAGGGGCCAGGACAAGTCCTACTCTGCAGACAGGAAACAGGCTCAGAGAGGAAGGTGACAGCCCCAAGCTTTGGCCCCAGCTGCAGATGCCCCATTATTAAGCTGCAGTGCCAGGATTCACATGTTGCGACTGCACTGCAGAACCTGGGAAGTGCCAGGACCATAGTAGAGGGTGCTTCGGCCTGGCATGAGCTGAGACCAGAGAAAGCATCACAGGTCGGGCAAAGTGGGCAAGGCCACTGTACCCCCTTGAAATTGGCAGCTGCTGCTGCATGGAATTCCCCCACCCCAGTGGTGTCATCCTGGCAGGAAGAACTACGAGGCCCTGTGCCAAATGTATGAGAAGATTCAGCCCCTTCTGGAGAATTTGCACCGGAACTTTGCCGAGACTCAATACAACATTGGTGAGCAGAGTGGGTAGGAGGCTGGGCAGAGGGAAAGGTCAGAGCCAGCCTGCCTCACTCTTAGCGAATTCTGGGGACAGAAGGTTATAGGATTTTCCCAGCCACTCCTTGGTTAATCCACCTACCCTGTCTGTAGATGTCCCTATGTGCCCAGCACCATTTCCTTGCCATGCACTATTCCTGCTACATTGTCTTCCTCTCCTCCTTCCTTGGTCTTGAACCAGGCTGGATTTGAATTGGATGCTGGGGTGGGGGCTGTTCCTGGAAGAGCTCATGGCCTGACTAAAGGTCCGGAGGTGGAGAAAAGCAGCAGTCAGTGTGTCATGTGGAGCTGAGCTCTTTCCCCGGGATGTCCCAGGCCCTGCCTTACTGGGTGAGGGATTAAGTTGCCCATGAACCCTCTGCTGGAAGCGGTCTGGTGCCACCTACCCATCCCCAACCTAGCATGTGACATCCAGAAGCTCTATGACAAAGACCCACTGGGCAATGTCCTGGTGGACAAGAAGAGGCTGGAGAAGACCCTGCTGCTGAGCTATGTATGCAACACCCAGGCAGGTGAGTGGAGGAGGGCCACGTCCAGCTGCTGCCAGGTGCCCAGGTGCCCCTCTTCACAGTGCCCCCTCCACAGAGTACCAGCAGGGCTTCCATGAGATGGTGATGCTCTTCCAGCTCATAGCAGAGCACGACCACGAGACCTTCTGGCTCTTTCAGTTCTTCCTGCAGAAAACGGTGAGGGCTGGGGGGAACCCCGGCCCCGGCCCTCCCTGTGACAGTCATGCCCATGTCAGCCACTCCTTCAGCCCCTAAACACTCTTGGGGGGCACAAAGAAGCCTTGGGGGGGGTGTTCAAGAGTGGGGCCCTGGAATGGAGAAGGCCTTAGAACGTGAGTGGTGTGACCAGGCCGGGGAATGGCGCCCTCTGCTGGGATTGCCCTCCCCAAACACTCTCCATCCTGCCAATCCTCAGCCTCCAGAAGAAAATCCAGCAACATTAGCCAGGCCTTCAAGGCCTCCTCTTTGGTCTTGCTTCTCAGTGTTTCCTCCAGGTGGCTTGAGGCAACTCAGCTGTGCCCAGTGCACGCCCCTGCTCTGTCCAGGTTGAGAGGCTTTGAAGGCGCTGCTCCTGGAGCACCCCCTTCCCTAGGAAGCCTTTCCTCGGGACCTGGGAGAAGCTGCCCAGTCCCCCACCCTCCCTGCCCCTCCCCTGACCTTACCCCGCCCTTCTCCCACTCTCCCCCACCCTGCTTCACTCCTCTCTCTCGCTCCCCCGCCCTCCCCTACTCCTGCAATAATATGCTGTCCTTGTCTCCATTGGCTCTGGTGCAGTAGTATTGGGTGTGTCAAGTGGTCACTGGGTTCAGGAGATTGTGAGCCACTTTTGAGACATTTCTGTGTCCCCACCACACCCTCGGGCACACACATTATGATGCACCCGGACACACACGCTGTCACCCAGAGGTGCACACGTATGCTGACCAGCACGCCTGCACAAACATAGATAAAGTGTGTGCTTGCCTGGATCACGCATACATGCAGGGACACCACACACGGCCCCTCCAGAGTTGGAGCCAAGGAGGGCGGAGCTGAGGAGGAGACTCAGTTTCCCTCCGTGGTCCCGCCCTGTGCAGGAGAACAGCTGTGTCATCACCATCGGCGTGGGCAAGAACCTGGACATGCTCAGCCGCCTCATCGCTCTCCTGGACCCCACATTTTCTGAGCACTTGCGTGCATGGACCCCACTCAGGCAGGGAGAGGAGGGGAGGGCAAGGGAGGGGAGGGGAGGGGAGGGGCAGCTCTGGGGACGTGTCCAGGCCCTGGGAGGAGAGGGCTGGGGTCTGCCCCGGTGAACATGGCCCCAGTCTCCGGGGATGGTTGGGACAGTCACAGCTATGGTTGCCACGGTTCCCAAGGGGTCCATGTGCTCTGTGTGTGTGGCTTTGAGTGTGTGGTCCCCTGACTCCCCTGACTCCCCTGACTCCCCTGACCATGACCTCCTGGGTGGCACCTGCTTCTCTCCTCACAGAAGGGAAGGGCGTGGGCGCAGTACAGGCCCTCTTCCCTTGGTTCTGCCTCTGCTTCCAGCATGCCTTCAAATCCTTTGATGATGTCTGGCGGCTCTGGGAGGTGAACGCTTGGCTGGGGACACCGGGGATAGGTCCCCACCCCAAGTGGCCAGTTTCCCGTCTCTCCCCCGTTCCTGGCCTTGGATGTAGTTCAGTGGCTCAGTGGCGCAGGATTTTGTTGGCCCCACAACCCTGCTCCTTCCTATCCATCTCTTCATCCCTCGCTAAGCCCTGGCAGCCTGCACCCTGCCCCCACTCTCATTTGGCCTTCCCCTCCTCCATGGTGCTGGCTGCACTCAGAGCCCCTCGGCCTCTGCCCACAGCCCTGGGCCGTCAGCAGGTGTACTTCCTTGGGAACAGCTTGCCATCATCACTGCCCATAGGATCCAGCCCAACCATCAGCCTGGCATTCAGTGCCCTGCAAGTCAGCGCCCACCTGTCTCACACCGCTCCCTGGCCTGCTTGTCTTCCTGCCCAAGTCCCTGACCATCTCCAAGCCTTGGGGCACACCCCTCGATTGTTGAGCTCCCATCAACTCTTGCCCAGTCTCACATGAACCCCCATCCTCTGCACCATGAATTCTTAGAGGCCTCTATCTCTGAAACCTCCAGTAGCTGTAGCCATGTCTAGAACCCCAGGGTGGGCAAATGAATGAATGAGCAGTGAGGCCCAGGATAGGCTGGCCCTGGACACTGGTGGGTGGGTGGATGCCTCATCATCTCAAAGGGTCTCTAGTCCAGGCTCCTACCCCATCCCCCAAACTCCTCAGGTCCTGCTGACTGGGAAGCCCTGCCGGAACCTGCAGGTGCTGGTGGCCTATAGCATGCTGCAGATGGTGCGCGAGCAGGTGCTGCTAGAGGGCATGAGTGGTGACGCCATCCTCCTGGTGAGCCACCCTCGGCCATCCTCCTCCCACCTCTGGAGGCCCCAACACCCCACCTATCCCAGTGGAAGGGCCCAGGCTCCTGGAGTGCTGGACTTCCCTTGACCCTGGCCCCCAGGCAGGAAGACTGGGAAGAGCTCTCTGCTGAGGGCTTTGGACACCGGAGGGCTCTGTACCTCCTGACCAGCCCAACATCCAGTCAGTGCTTGGAACAGAGGCCTTCAATGGCTCAACCACTGCACTCGCCTGCCTCACAGGCAGCCCTTGCCCCAGGGATGCTCTTGTGGTGAAAAGACCTGGTTTCCCAACATTAAAAAAAAAAAAGTTAAACTCTTAGTTTGAAAAGAACTTTAGCTGCACCCCTATTATAATCAACTCCTTCTTGGAAGCTCCTGAAACACATAGGGGAGCCCCAGGACTCCCTAGAGCCAGTGTGGAAGCTATGCTTACCACCACCCAAAATGTACAACCACCAGCACTGTGCCAGGCAGGTCAGGGACACACACACACACACACACACACAAACATATGCAAACATCTCTGTACATAGGCTTGCAACAACCTCATTGATCTTGACGCGGATGAACTGATCTCTGCTGCCTGCATGGTTTATGCTGAGCTCATCCAAAAGGATGTAAGTGGCCTCATGCTTTCTCCTCCTCCTCCTCCTCCTCCTCCTCCAAGAAGCCTTCCCTGATCACCCACGCCAGGCAGTCAGCTTCAGAGACAGTCTGTGCTGCCAACCCATGGAGGTTTCTCTGCATGGTCTTCTGCTGCTTCCATGTGGAACCCAGGCTTCCTGGGCAGGCTGTGTGCCCAGATATCATGGCCCTTGCCCCTTATTCTCTATGTCCATCCCAGGGACCTGGGGACCCAGAGGCTCAGGAATGGTCACTGGCTGGTCAAACTGAAGAAGGAAAGCAGTAGAGCATGTCCACTCACCTCATGCCTGGGGATCCTCCCCTTCCTCAGGTTCCCCAGCCACTGAAAGATTTCTTTCTCTGAAGACACTGACACCCATGATAAACAGATGCCCTCGATGCACAGGGTGACCTTGAACGAGATGACAAAGTCAGGACCAAGCCGGATGGAGTGTGAGGATGCGGGTGCCAGTAATACAGCCGTCCTACACAGAGCCTGTGGATAGTTTGCGTCTCTTTTGACCTCGGGGGTGCAGGAGGACTGAGGGGCCTGTTGGCGAGCTGTCCGCTGTGCACCCAGAGAGGGCACAGGACGAGCCCTCTCTGGACAAGCTGGTATGGGCAGCAAGTCTCTCGATGGAGAATTTTCTAAGGCAGCAATGCGAGGATCTGAGTGAATCCTTAAGGGTAACACTGAACTTGAGATCCCTCCAAATGATCCTGGAAGACAATACTGAACATGTCTCAGAAGGATTAGTCCACACTAGGACTCTGGTCACCAGAGAAGTCTCTTCCTGGGCCTCTCCTGCCCTGATTCCCAATCACACAACCAAGTCCTTTTCCCACGATCTGCGGAAGGACCGGCCCAGTCTCTGACCAGCAGGCAGGTCCTTCATAATTGCACCTTCGTGTCTCAGCCTGCAAGGGTCTCCTGAAGCTGTCTGTGCTTTTCATTTTCAGCTTCACCCCGCTTTCTCCCAGGAATGCCGTGGGCTCTTGCCCAGGCAGCAAGCCCCATGCCCATCCTCCCTATGTTTGGGGGGCCCAAGACATGGAGGTTAGCCAGAAGCATTGTGGCTGCTGGGTGTCACACACACACACAGCCTTGCCCACTGGCCACACCTTTTCAGGAGGGCAGATGGCTGGGAAGGAGAAGCCTTGGGCCTGTGACAATCCCCCATCTATGGTGGCCTCTGAGTCTCTTTGCTGCTCTTTGCTGGGGTGGGGGTGCTGAAGGATGGGGCCCTGTCCCATCATATCGCCGAGGCCTCAGGAGCTTGTGTGGCTGGGCAGCGAGGCACACGGGTAAATTCATGCACTGCATTCTCCTGAGCTTTTTGTTCTCATGACAGTTGACTTAAAATAATGGTTCCTGCATGGATAGGTCTCCAAGAATGAAACTATGTGTGCATTTTACCAAAGAGCCAGGGTAGCAGAATAAGAGGTATCTTGCTGAGCTAACTTTGGCCTTGGGAAGAGAACAGTCAATAAAAACAGCAGATGTGGATTCTCTAATGGTTCTTTTGGCCTGGTGGTATTGGTTGCCCTATAATTTGGGGTTGCACACAATACCAGACATCTACTGTGATGCCTTGGTACTCATCACTAATTGGTTCCAGGAGGTGTGACAAGCACCGTAAATGATGAGTGCCAAACAGTTTTAGCTGTAAATGGGGGGGACATGTGTGCAGGAGGCTGTACCCCACTTTTCTTACTTTCTCTAAGCCCGTTCCCTCCCCAGGAAGCTTGGGGAAGACCCAAGTGCAGCCATACTCACTGGGTATTGTTTCTTTTCATTTTGAAGAGGCATAAGGAATTTTATCAGGCAGAAATTACACACTCAAAGAAAATAGAGTATGGGCCCTTGAGAGAGGTACATTATTTTCTGGAGCTGGGGATATTGTTTTTCTAGAGGGGGTGGAAGTCTGTAGAATTTGTGAGTCTATAGAAAGCTCCCTCTTGGTTCCAAGAGAAAAGGATGCGTTGGCTCCACCTATTGGTTTTGTTTTTAAAATGGGTCATCTAAGACATTTTGTTTAAAAACTTTCTTTGAACTCTCAATCTATTCCTTTATCTTTTTTTTATTGGGGTTTTTGTTGTTGTTGTTGTTCCTTTATCTTAAGAGCAGGCTCCTGCTCTTTATCAACTAAGCCAATTTATGGGCTTATGGCATCTTTAAGGGATTTGGGGTGTAATGGGCATGGAAGAAAAGAAGTATAAACAAATCTAGGGGCTATCTATATGGATAATCTTAGATTACTTAGACTGTGTCCCGAAGTTGCAGTCTTTGCAAAAGTACAATATTTAAATTACGATTTTCCTTTTCTCCTTTCTACCTATCTTTATTTCTTCTATCCTAACTCATTCCTCTCAATCCCTAGAATTTTTCCCTTATTCTTAAGGGAGGCAGAGGGGCTGAAGGTCTGTCTTCTTAGGGCTGCTTCAGCCCAGGGTTGGGAGGCACTGACCCTACCTAGCCAGGCATCAAAACTCTCGCTCTGACTGATCTAAGGAAACAAAAGAAGATGGATTTTGTTGTTTAATGAACCATCATCTTTTGATAGTCAAAGTCATAGTCCTGATGCCTCTTCACCTCCTGGAGCTGGCTCACCACAGGAAATGCCACTGGACAGAGTTCAGGGTGGTTTCCCAAAGTGGAGATGGGGAAACTTAACTCATCCTATTCATGAGGGAGGTTACAGCTTCACTGAATTCCATCTCAGAGAACTTTCAGGATTCATCAGTCAGAGGCTAAAGAGATTTATGAAGCAGAAATTAGGGTACACACTCAAAGAAACAGAGTGCAAGCCTTCAAAAGAGGCACCGCTGCATATTGTCATAAAACCAACATCAGGCTGCTGTGGACAATGCCACATTCCTTCTCCAGGATGGGGGCTGGGCTGGAGCACTGGAGTTAAAAGGGAATCAGGCTGTGGGGTGAGGAACCAAGATGGGGCTGTCAGTCCACGCATGGAACTAGCAGCAGTAAAGCCCAGGAGGCTGAAATGGGCTGAGTGTATGCAGGGAGGCCAGCCCTGGCTCTGGGGGAAAGGGGTGGAGGACAGCTGTACAGGGATCATGCCCGGTCCCTGCCTGGGCCCTGTAGCACCCTCTCCAGACACACCCAATGGCCAGAGCAGGGAGGTGGGATGGAGAAAGACCAGGGCAGAAAAAAGAAAATTTCTGGTCTGTGCCAAGGGCTGCCCTGCCACAGGCTGGCCATCAGCCACCTCACCCAAGAGGAGAAGATGATCCCTCAGACTCAGACAGCAGCACTAGGTCTATTCTGCCTGACACTGCAGCCAGGTGAGCGGTGGTGGGAGGAGTCCCGAGCAGTAGCTTTCAGTCTGCAGGTGAGAAGCATCAGAAGTGCTTTTTAAAAATAACCAATGCCCACTGATTAAACCAGAATAGCCAGCGGTGAGACCAGGGTGCTGATATTTTAAAAAAGCTCCCCAGGTGATTATCAAGTGCAGTCAGGGATGAGAACCCGTAAGAGCAGGGGGCTGATGGAGGGGATTAGTGAGATGCTCGGCTGACCCCTGCCTTCTACACACAGGAGTCCCAAGCCTGCTGGGGATAGGGAAGGACTGGCCCAAGGTCTCCCAGCAAGTGGACTTTGGCCCAGAGAGGGCACGAGTGGCTGTACGGGGTGCTGTCCTGTAGAGACACTGAGGAACAGCGCCCTCATCAGTACTGCTCCCTAGGCCACCCCCCAAAGCTCCTGCTGCCCTCCCTATGGGCTCTGGACTGGGCCTCCCCACCTCTCCACCTTACAGACCTTCCACCAAACCAAATGATTCTGCAGTTAGGCGTTCCAAGCTCTTTCTGAACCAGCACATAAAGAATCTCTTGGGGGAAATAATAAGCCCCTGAGTCTCAAAGGCCTGACCCTCACCTGCAGAGAGATGCAAATGGTACCCAACACCCACAGCGCAGCATTCAGAGGCTGTGAGCAAATGGGATGCAAATATATGCATCATCATGCAAACAAGGGCAGCCTCGGATTAATGGCCTCCATCCTTCAACTAGACAGCAGCTGTCTCTTTAGGTGTAAGCATGGCTGACAGGGAGTGTCGAATCAATTCCTGTCAGAAACATCCTGAGGAAGGGTCGCCTTGCAGGTCAAGGGGAAGACTTGCTCAGATACCTGGCTTGCTGATACTCTGCTCTGGGAGGTCTGGATGGGGGTGTGTGTCAACCAGGCAGGATGTTCCTTTCTGATTGGGCTCCTCATCCAAGTGCCAGGTTCAGTACTAGGCACTAAGGTTTAGAGGACATGGTGTGGTGGTGAAGGTGGAGATAATGGGAAAGGTAATGGTGGAAATGAGAGCCATGGGCTACAGACTTTCCCCAGCTTTTGATGGCTCTACACACAAATTTTTAGAATGGTGCAAAAGTGATAGGAGAAAACCACACTTCAAAATCTGAACTTCGATCTCCCCTTAGGCTAGCCGTATGTAGTACCACATTCTCTCATGATGCCAGGCAGCAGCCACCAGATACAACTTCCAGCTGGCCATGGGATCACAAAGTGAAGACAACCCATGCTCTATAGCATGCACATAGCTAAGCCAGGATGCTCCATAGATTAAAGGTACTAGGTGTATTCCAACTTTGAGGGTCTTTCATTTATGATGTCAAGGTGCCTGTAATTGAGAAGATGGCAAAGGTGGAGGTGAAGGTGGTGAACTTCCTGGTAACAGTGGTGACATGAACAACACTCATGCTGGGAGCAAAGGTAAAAATGGGCCTGGGAGAGATGGCCATAGTGGTAAAGGTGAGGACAATTGTGTTCAGTGGAGGTACTCGTAGGGATGACACAGGGGAGGTGACATTGGGTGTCATCTGTGGACAAAGTGGAGTTGACAGAGGTATTGTTAAGGTCATTGTTGAAAAGATGCCAATGAAGAGGTGGGGGTGGAAGTCATGACGAGGAGTAGAACAGTGTCAGTGTGTTGGTTCAGGGTTCTCCAGAGATCAGAGCCAATAGAGTATGCACATAAATATATGCCGGGGGACTGGCTCATGCAATTATGGTGACTGAGCAGTTCCATGACAGGCTGGCTGCAAGCTGGAGAGCCTGGGACACTGGGAGCATGGTCCGAAGACCACAGAAGCTGCTGTTGGAACTCACTCCAAGGCTCAGAGCCTGAGAACCAGGGGCCACTGCTGTGAGTCCTGGAGCCCAAAGGCCAGTGAGCCCAGAGTTCTGATGTCCAAGGCAGCAGACAAGGAGTCCATCCCAGCTGCCAATGAGAACAATTCACCTTCCATTTCTGTTCTCCCTGGGCCCCCAGCTGACTAGATGGTGCCCATCTACACTGAGTGTGGATTGTCCTCACCAAGTGTGTTCAGACTCACATGCTAATCTCTTCAAACACCATCATACACACACACACCCAAATAATGCTTTACAAGTATCGAGGTTTTCCTCAATGCAGTCAGGTTGACCCCTAAAATTAAGAGTCACAGCCAGAAGA